AAAGGGAACCTCACGTTACAGCCGACACCTGAAGGCTCATTTTCCACCTATAACCAAGACATGTAGAAAGATCTAAGCGATCTTTTAAAGACATATTTATATAATCATTTGAATGTTTAATCAAATCTGTTATAAACACGTAGTTCAATGAACATTAGGGAGTAAATTTCCTATATGGTGAATCAAACGTCAATGGAATTTTGTCAAGACACATCTTTTTGGGAAAAAAAATAATGTAGGTCATATCAAATGACACAAGCTTTTTGAGTTTTCTTTCTTGGTTTAAATGACAAAAAGTTCATACTCATCTGTGTGGCTGTTTTGCAGCTGAATTATCAGCCAAGTGCTGAAACCACTCTCCTGCAGAGGTGCTAGCTAGCGAAGCTATGGAATCATGAAGGCCATTTACACAGTGCAGAGCCCAAATATTCGTGGAAGGAGTACAAGTCACCAGAAGAGAGCGAGCTAACATTCTGTAGAAGGCCTCATACTGGTAGTAGGTTCACTCTTCTGCACGCAGGAGTCAAAACACCGGGCAGGTCGATGCCGTCTTTCCAATCCTTGCTGTTCTAGCGCCATTAAGCAACGAGAGACTCCAAGAATTCCGATCGGGAAGGAGTATGCTGATCTTGTAGCCTGCGCTGGTCTATTTAGTTTACTTCCTTTATTTCCTGACACACCAGCGTTTCTGAAGGGAAGACGCTGTCTTAGCTTTCTTAGTAGCGTAATCCTGACCTAGTCCAAGGCCTGGCGGTGTCAAGAGTTTACTAAATAAAATAGGGTATAAGGGACAGGGAAACTTTAGAAAAACTTTCGCTTCTTGAGCAGCTCAAGACTTCGCCATACTAAGTCAATTCCATGGAGTCATTCTCATTTTTAAATTGTGTTTGCTCTAGGGTGTGTGTGTTCACCAGAGAGACTGAGTTAGAGGGAAAGTGAGAAATCACCCCCAAGGGCATGGCCATGCCCTCTCGGCATTTTGGCCACATAGGCACATGCCCTGGGTGTGGTTTTCAAGCTGCTGGGTCCACACAGCCAGCCATGTGGGATCCAACTCCTTAACCTCCACACCACCTGCTGGCCCCATGTTTGAGGTAAGCATAGTTTTCTCGTTGGGAAAAACTGCCAAACTCTGTTAAGCCTAAATTGAAAACGTAAGTGTGGAATAGGAAACGTCCGCATGCATTCACATGGCCTTTACTCAGCGTCTCAAAGGGCATTCACCAAAAGCGACTGCCTCGTTTCCCAGTGGGAGTGAAATAACTTAAGAAAAACATGCCCATCAAGCCCCTAACGAAGGTCGACTTTGAGTTTAGCCTGAGTTCCTGCTGCCTACAGTGAAGTTAAATATGCAACACGACCACTGGAAACACTCTTAGTGAAAGGAAACCTGTCGCCCTGCTAGCCACTCACAGGGATGCTGCAGGAGGGCAGGGGCTTGTCTTGACCACCGATATCCCAAGTGCCTAGAACACGTTACACTTTTTTTTTGGGGGGGGGGAGCTTTTTGCTATAGGGTGTGTGTGCTCACCAGAAAGACAGAGATAGACAGAAAGCGAGAAATCACCTCCCAGGGGGGATGGCCATGCCACAATCCCTTCTCCTCCATTCTCCTCTTGGGATCTTGGGCACGCACGCACACACACCCGGCATGAGTTTAAGCCACAGGACTCGAACTGCAGGTGACTACATGGGAGTCCAGTGACATAACCATTATGCCAACTGCTGGTCCCTCTCACTCAGTATTAACACGTGCTGAAAGATGCCCAAGCACATACCTTCTCTCTAGAATCACATCTAGGAAAACACACACACTTGTGACTTGGTATTAGGCTGAAAACTTTCCTACAAGAATATGTACGCTCGGGAACCAGCAGTTAGCGTAATGGCTATGTTGCTGGATTCCCACGTAGTTGACCGCGGTTCGCGTACCGGACCCGGTGGCTTAAAACTCACGCCGGGCGCGTGTGCGTGCGTGCCCAAGATCCCGAGAGGAGAATGGAGGAGAAGGGATTGCGGCGTGACCATCCCCCCTGGGGGGTGATTTCTCGCTTTCTGTCTCTATTTCTCTGTCTGTCTGGCGAGCGCACGCGCCCTATAGCGAAAATCTCTCCAAAAAAAAAAAAAGAATATGTACGCTTTAGGGAACCGGCAGTAATGGCTATGTGGCTGGACTCCCATGTAGTCGACCGCGGTTTGCATCCCGGACCCGGTGGCTTAAAACTCATGCCGGGCACGTGTGTGTGCGTACCCAAGATCCCGAGAGGAGAATGGAGAAGGGATTGCGGCATGACCATCTCTCCTGGGGGGGGGATTTCTCGCTTTCTCTCTGTCTGGCGAGCACATGCACCCTATAGCGAAAACTTCTCAAAAAAAAAAAAAAAAGAATATGTATGCTTTAGATGGTTATGTTTATAGCTTGTCCAGGTAAAGTCAGTCAGTGGATAATGAAAAAGACACAATCGGTGGTCAAAAGAATGAGAAACATTTAAGTTTTAGTGTTTAAGATTTTGAGTTGAAGCTACTGAGTTCTTACTGCCTACAATAAAAGTTAAATATGCAATACAAGCACAGGAAAACTGAAATGAAACTAGCATTCAGTGTGATAAAGACTCACAACCACGGTCGATCATGACGTTGGATAAGAGTCCTCTAACTCTGACCCCAGTGGGAGCACAGTGCTTTGGTGGCTGAGGACGGCCTGCCCTGCCTGTGAGCAGTGAGCGTCATGTAAAACGTGCTAACGCATCACTGTCCCACAGGATGACTTACTATTGACATCTAGGTTTGTGGTGAGACACATCACAGTATCTTTCATTTAATAAATGCAGGCTCTTCAGCTTCATCTCAGTGAGAGAAATGGATGATTGTAAATGTGGATGTGACAATGGATACAAAACAAAACTGGGTATGCAGATGCCTTTAGCAATCCATGAGGGCGTGTTTGGTGAATACCTCTACAAAGTTTGTTTTATTTCAAGTGAGATGATAATCAGCAACACCATGGAAAAACATCATGCTACAATGTCTAGCAAGGTCAATAAATGTAATGACCAACTTCATCACTTAACATTCCACGGGACTCTTTATTGGTTTTCAAAAGCAATGAATGAATACTTTAAGGTACAGTTTATAAACAAACAGCTATATCTTGACTCTTATGAAGAGACTAACTTCCCTTGAAGCCATTTCCTGGACTACTCCTGCAGAGGACAAGGGGGTGTGGGAGAGGTCCAGTTCCTTGCACCCACCTGTGTGCACTCGGCCTGCACCCTGCGAACACTGATCCAACAGCCACTGAGCAGCAAAAGGAATTCCATTTCATTTTATATTTTAACTGAGAATTCTACTCATTTACAGCAGAGCTAGTCTTTCCTTCTCCCATTCCTTGCATAACTTCCTGTTCTGTGTTTCTCCTATGTGGACTTTCTTTCTTTACCTGTATCTCAGTCTCCACTCACTTTCTGCCTGCGTCCATCTCTCTAGCCCATCAAATATATATAGATAGAAACTCTTATTTTTCAAATGTCACTAAAGCTTCCACAAATTAAGGTCAGTGTACATTTTTTCCATTGAGATTAATGATAAACCATTAATCAGTTTATTCAAAGACTTTTGCCTGCATTAAAAATTATTTGTATCTAGGGAACCAGAAGTTAGCGTAATGGCTATGTCGCTGGACTCCCACATAGTCGACCGCGGTTCACGTCCCGGATCCAGTGGCTTAAAACTCACGCCGGGCGCGTGTGCATGCGTGCCCAAGATCCCGAGAGGAGAATAGAGGAGAAGGGATTGCGGCATGACCATCCCCTCTGGGGGGTGATTTCTCGCTTTCTGTCTCTATGTCTCTGTCTGGTGAGCGCACGCGCCCTACATCAAAAACCTCTCCAAAAAAAAAAAAAATTATTTGTATCTACAAGTAAAAACATGATATCCATGGGACCAGCAGTTAAGAGTAATGGCTGTCGCTGGACTCCCACGTAGTTGACTGGCGTTCGAGTCCCGGACCCAGTGACTTAAACTCACACCAGGTGTGTGTGCATGCATGCCCAAGATCCCAAGAGGAGAAAGGAGAAGGGATTGCAGCGTGGCCATCCCTCCTGGGGGTGAGTTCTCGCTTTCTGTCTCTCTTTGGCGAGCACAAGCGCCCTATAGTAAAATATATATATATGATATCCATGTTTGAGTTTGGTTTATCAAATTATAATTTACACATATCCAGCTTTTTGCTGAATAAATTCAAGCACTAAGAATATGTTAAGCCAAAAATACGATGTTTCCTCGTAGACACAGAGACAGAACATAACGGGTGGTGTGAGTTCACCTTGGTACCCGGCGGTGGAGAGGGAGCTATCCAGGGCTGCCTAGCCTTTACTAGCCATGAAAAGGGACGGGAGATGAATCGCAATAACTTCCCACTGTTTCAGGTACCTGTGTGACTGCAAGGATGTGGTACTGCGAAGAAACACAGCTGGCAGCCTGGGCTTCTGCATTGTGGGAGGTTACGAGGAGTACAATGGGAACCAGCCTTTTTTTATCAAGTCCATTGTTGAAGGAACACCAGCATACAATGATGGGAGGATCAGGTAAGGACAATGACCACCTGACCAAAACTTACACTCACATGGTTTTACACCGGCACAAGCTTGGCCCCATTTGAAACATGTGTCATTGTAATTTGCGGGGAGGATACGAATCTAAAATGATTACACTACACATATTCTTTTTTTTTTTAAAGAATTATTATTTTAACTTTATTATTTTCCAGTTTAACCAGAGAGAGACGGAGAGAGAGAGAGAGAGAGAGAGGGAAAGGGAGAAAGCAAGCCACCAGGTCCAGGACTCAAACCGTGGTCAGCCATGTGGGAGTCCAGCACCTTTGACCACCATGCCACCTGCTGGTCCCAACACTACACATATTCTTGGTCCCAGAATGTAACTTCCTATCAGTTTAGCATCAAGCTGAATGAAAAGTGAGAATTTAAGTGAAGAGAGGGTAAAAATCTCTTAATGAAAATGGATGGATGGAGTGAGAACTAGGAACACCAAAATACCCTTGCACTGACTTCGGCTACGGAATAAAACGTTAATGATGCACCTTCTGTCTTTTAGATGTGGCGATATTCTCCTTGCTGTCAATGGTCGGAGTACGTCAGGAATGATACATGCCTGCTTGGCAAGGATGCTCAAGGAACTGAAAGGAAGAATTACTCTCACTATTGTCTCTTGGCCTGGCACTTTTTTATAGACTCAGTAATCACAGAAAGAACAAAAACAGGCTAAGTTGAAACGATGTATTTATTGTGCCGATTTTTATATTTAAAGAATACACTGTAAAAGTATTAGGAAAAGAATGATTTCATGAAAGCTGGTTACACCACAGAAAATGATTCTCAAAAATAAAAAAAAAATAAAATAAAACTACTGGTTTCTATTCAGTGAGAAGAATTTCTCATTACTGCATGACTCTGTGTCTTTCTATTTAACAAGAAGTCCTTACACAGCTAAAATGGGTTTAATCGCCTACTGAATTCAAATCACTGATTTCAATTAAAAGTCTGATTATATGCTGAGGTCTACAAAGGGTACATTATGGGCATTTTTAATATAAAGCCAGAGGATTTAAAAAATTCATTGGTAAGAAACGTTCTTTTCATCAAATGAAAAATATTTTTCAAAAATTATAGTTGTCTTCTAGTATGTGATACTAATTAAGTTTACTTGAGTAACCATTTAAAAGATCTTAGTATTCCATTCTCCAATACCGTGTTGTTTGTTACCATCCCTGCCTTTGAGGATTATCCCTTAAAATGCTCACAGAATTATAAACTTGTATTTTCTGGGTTCTGATAAGAAGCCTGAAGTTTCCGTCACTAAGTTTGTTTTCATTCACAAAAGTCTAGTCGGAAACCGAGTGGGAACTCCGTGCACTGCTCCACCATCGGGGCTTGGCAGTTGATCACCGAAAGCCGAACCAGCTCCAGTCTGGCTCCGGAGGACGACCAGGGGTGACTCAAATCTGCGTCTCAGGGACTGGTGATTGCACATGTGCCTACCAGAACCACGCTAAGGGCAAGTTTTTAACAGATGCCACCGAAATGCCTTACAGATTTCATTAATTTGGACATAAGTTCACCATGAACCCAAATTTAAACACTGAAGGCTGCTACAAAAAATCTGTGATATCAAAAATGAGTATGAGTTCTTCCATATATTAAGCAAGAGTGCCACCACTAACGACGAAGCCTCGTTTTAACCTGCAGACTTGGAGGCGTTTTCTGATACAGTGCAATCCCCGATGTCCAAGGCGGCGTCTGATTATCAGGAAAACTGTGGCCGGGGAGGCCTTGGCCCTCATTAGGCTGTATGTACATACAAAGCCAGATAACAGCTCTTTAAATTCCTTGTTTTGTGACTCATTCGTGTTACTTGCTTAGAGAAACCACTAATGTCCTTTTTAAAAATATTACAAGACAAAGACTTTTAACTTAACATGAAAAATTCACTCTTTTATTTTGGGGGAAAAAAGTTAAATGTTCATACTAACAGAACAAGATTAAAGGTAAATTTTTTTTTTAACATCATCCAGAAAAATAACAAGATTTATAGTATCTATTTCTGGCGCTATGATACACGGGAGGCCCACACCACGCCTATTCCGCAGGGGCAGTCTCGGTGCTCTCCTGCTCAGGGGCGGGCTCACTCCCGGCTTCTTTGCCTTCTTTGCTTCTTTTAGATTTTTTATGCTTGTGTCTCCTGTGACTGTCTCCTTCTTCACTTTCATGGCGACGTCTGCTGTTACTGCAGAAAAAGAGAGGCATGTTCTGCTTAAAAACGTTTACATACACCGCCAGGGTCAAAGATCAGTCTGCTCTCAGTAAATTCTCAGTGTAGCACTATGTTTAAAATAATCTAATCCTTTTTTTTTTTTTCAAACACATTTTGGGGAGTAATCAATTTCTACATGATAATTACTGGGTTGTTGGAAAACTCAAGACGCATTTTTGCACAGAAAATACATCATGACTTTTCCGACAACCCAGAGGCAGATTCTGTATATGGAATAGGGTCATCTTCATTGATGCTATCCAAATTCCTGGGACCCTCATACTTTGTTCTGAAAGACTAATTACAACTTAGAAACTGAACTGCTACATCAGAAAAGAAAACCTAAGATTAATCTTGGCTAGTACGCACTGAAATTTAGTGCCGATATTTTTGAGACTATAAAGACCCTTAAGATTCAATTAAACCAAACACCGCTTTGTATAATAATATTTACTATTGAGGACTGGCTCCTGTGCCAAAATCCCCTCTCCCAGTGAGAATCTAAAGTCAAATCTCGCTCATGCCGTCAGGAAAGTCAGAACGTATCTCTCAATGTTTTCTAAGCAGAATTGTGTCATGACTTTCCTGACGACCCAATATTATCTTTTACGATCTGTGCATTTGTTTTTGAGTATTAAGTGTAGTCTTGTTAGAGTCAACTTTGTTGAAGCCTCACAAAAAAGCTTCTGAATCCTCCCACTCGAAACAATGCTCTACTGGTTATTTGAAAATGTCTGCTTTCGCTTTGAAGTCAAATCAACCTCTCTCAGCTGAAAATGAAGTCACTGATTCATTAGAGCGAACCTTCGCGATGACTTGTGTCTGGTCTCCTCCTTCTCCCGGTGCCGTCTTTCTCGGTGCCTCTCCTCCTTCTCCCGACTTGCTCTGTGACGCTCGTAGCCCCTAGATTCTGCATACTCCCTGTATCTGTCTTCATCACTGCAAATGAAAGAGACACATCTCTCCTGACAACCGAACTGTTAATTCCAAATGCTTTTTACCTGTAAAGGAAGAGATACGGTCTAATGTCCAAACCAGAAGCCCCTGTGCTAGCCTCTTACAGAAGAGGTGAGAAACACACATTTATTGAATTGAAAGGAAAATAATGCTAGTTCCCAAATTAGTACTAGATTACTGTAAGAATACAAAACAGGGACCGGCAGGTGGTGTGGTGGTTAAGGATGCTGGACTCCCACATGGCCAACCGTGGTGCAATTCCTGGGCCTGGCGGCTTGGTTTCTCATTCTCTCTCTCTCTCCCTTTCTGGTTAAAATTAAATAAACAAAGTTAAATAAAATAATTCTTTAAGAATACAAAACATACCACGCTAAATATTTGACCTATTTTGTTTTGCAGTTTCGTAGCTGTTATGGAGTAATTAGAGATTCCATATTAATAATGCTTTGTTTCAAGGACCAACAGATGGCATAATGGTTACATTGCTGGACTCCCACGTAGTTGACTACAGTTCGAGTCCCAGACCCAGCAGCTTAAAATTCACACCGGGCACGTGTGTGTGCATGTCCAAGATCCTGAGAGGAGAATGGAGAAGGGCCTGTGCGTGGTGGCCCCTCCTGGGGGGTGATTTTTCACTTTCTGCCTTTCTCTTTGTGCCCTATAGCGCGCGTGCACACGCACACACACGCACACACACACAAAGAGTAATGCTTTGTTTCTACTTCTTCTTAAGGTGGGATCTCATTTAAATTTTAACCAGCTTTTTTTTTCCTTTTAGAACTTTTAAAAGCATATTTGTATAGCTCAGATTCCTAACCCAAAAGTCTTATATTATTTGTAACGTTTTGGGCACTCGGTTAAGTTTCTAAACTTGCATGGTGCACAATGACTAGAAGGTAGAAGGCAGATGAGGTTCTTAACCGTTGGTTTCCTGACAAGAGGAGCTGCCATAGTGGAGAGACGCACCAAGTGCAGAGACGGCGGAGCAGCCTCCACCCTGGCGCTCAGACACCCAGATGGCGCCTCCTCTCTCCCTCTGGGGAGAGGGAGGGTGCACATGGCTAACCATTTCAAATGAACAAGTGTAAGCTGCATCTTCGTTTTCTGATTCGGATAGAATTAGAGGCTAGTGAAAGTGGGGCTGATGCCGACAGTTAGAGGGTGCTACTTCCTCATCTCCGCAGACCTGCCCTCCCTCATGTCCCTAATGATAATTCCTCTTTCTCCTAACTCTTTAAAGTCTTTCTTTTTCTCTTTAGCAGAGAACTCAACACTTTCTACAATCTAACAGTAAATACTCTCTGAGAATAAACAAGACTCTTTTAAAACACTGTATGCTGAAGAGGTCTGGTTTTCAGCAATATATTTTACACACATTACTAAGGAAGGGGTACAGAACACCAGGATGGCAAAGCCGGGCTGGAAGTGACGGACTCAGGTCCAGTGTCCGTCCCGTGAGAGAGCAGTACTCCGCATTCGGCAACGCTGTGCTCAGTGCCACCTGTACGGCTGACCATGAAAACACACCTGTGTACATATACATACATACACGTGCACACCCACATGTGGCCGTGCTTCCGAGCCGGAAGCACGTAGTTAGCATTTGGGAGACGCAAGCACATCGTCTGAAGTGCGGAGCGCCACACAGGACAGTGAGGCAGGGGAGGAGCACGGGCAGGAGCACACCCTGGTCTGCCACTTACTAAAGCCAAACGACGCAAGATGATATTTAGTCTCTCACCCTGTCTTCTCATCTGTAAAATGAACGTGATGTTTCAAGGTTTTGGTAGAACTGACAATAACACTTATAAAGTGCTTGGTATAAGAGCAGGCCCTCAATAAATGGCAATCTTTGGTGAATGAAATGTTTAATTTTTCCAAAGCAAAATGTTTTCTGTAAAGGTAGTACTGACCCTGTTAATTACTCTCTCTGAGGTAGGTTAAACTTGTACTGTTAACAAATGATGAATATAATAGCAATGCCTCTCAAAAAAAAGGTCTCTTTGCAATGACTCTGACTAGACCGACGTAAAATAGTTAGGTGGTGGCAGGGGTGCTTCTCCCTGTCCCCCTCTCTGAGGTGGGCATGCACACCCTCTGGCACACACACAAGGCCAGCTGTCTCATAACTGGTCGTCTGTAACTCTCTTTTTCCCTCTTACACTAAAACCAACCCCTGTTAGCCTGGGAGCCTTTGGTTCTGAAGGCAGCCGTATAACAGCGACCGTAACAAGTGGAATAGTTGGTCCTGCACACGAAATATAAAGACCCTCCTTCCACCCCTTTTCTGATCAATGACTAGGGCACAAATGTTTTTCAGGGCCTGGAAATCATTAAAGCTCATTTCAAACATCCTAGAATGACCAGCCTTTTTTCTGGCCCATAATTAAGCTGCCTAAAAAACAGATGTTAAAATGGTCTGTAATTTTCAAAACAATGACCCCTATAATTTGTAACACCACACATACTACATTCCACGTTACCACGATGCCGATTTTCAGACATATACAGCCTTTACTTATATTTCACTTGAATTTTCCAGAGTATGATTTTTTCCTGGGATAATTCAGAAGAACACAAATTTCCTCTACCTTGTGCCTCTCTGACCTTCAGCTTTTATCAAGTTAAGGTAAACACTGACTTCTAAGGTCCTACAGTTCGGCAGCTGGGAAAAAAATAAAACAAAATGTTTAATCACGAACACTTAAATTTTGAGATATTCAGGAGCATCTGTATATGTGTGTAACAGAAACAAAAGAAACAGAAAATTTAGCCTCAAATTGTGTATAAACATTGTATTTATGCAAAGAAAACATGAGCTCCAATTAAGCAGTTCATTTCAGCCTTCTTTCCAATTAGGTTTTGCGTTAAAGCTGCTTATATAATAAGGACATGCCTATCCTGGAGACACCAATGCTGTCTCAGACGTGTTCATTTTAGCTGTGTCAGAAAACATTACTGACTTTGTAAAAAAATAATACTCTTGAACTTAATAGAACGGTGCGTTTAGGTGACTAAAGTCGATAGCACATGTTCCACCATGCAAACACAAAGCACACACATACACACGTCAGACCACTATTTACTTCTGTGGTTAATAAAATGTTGAGTCCCTATGACACGTCAGTTATATTATTGGGAGTCAAAGGAATTAGAAAGACGATGAAATTGCTTCCAGATCCTTTTTGCACTTTCTTTTAAGGGTAAGTTTTCAGGTGCCGGCAGTCGCAGTCGGCTTGGCCTGCAAGGACATCGGGGCGTCTCCATCTCTGGGACATAGCGCTGTGCTGGCGTGTGAGGAGCCCAAAACATCAGTTATGTGAGTGAAGGGAACAACTGTTTTATTTACAGGGAAGAAAAAATCCAATACATGGAAGGGATGGAGGAATGAATGAAAAGTCACAGAACGTTTTAAAAGAATTTTTAAATAACGAGGACTTTAAGCAGCACCTCAACCAAATCTCCAGTAGACGGTATGGCTCTATCACTGCCTTCATGTGCCTGTGCCCTCAGTCCCTCCACCCACAGACTTGGGCTACAAACCTCCTGG